AGGGCCAAGTGATCCAGAATGTTTGGGAGAAGACCCGAAGATAGAGCCCTCGCCAACACAGCGGCCGCGAGATACAGTGGAGGAGCATCCCGTGACGGGTCTCACTAGAGCCCAAGGTGAAGCTGCGGCGCAAGAGACAGCGAAGGAGAAGACGGAAAGTTAGCGCCGGAGCGCGTAGGAATTCCGCCGTGTAGTCGGCGAAGGTTCTGCCCGTAGTGACAGAACAGGAGGAGACGGAAGTGAGCGCCAGAGTGCGTAGAGATTCCGCCGTGTAGTCGGCGAAGTTTTTGGTCCGTAGGGACGGCTCGAGCTACAGGCAAGAGCGTGGGTTTACCGCTATCGAGCGAAGACGCGGGCAACAGCTGCGTGTGGGAAGCCGACGGATTTCCGGCGAAGAAGCTTGAAGCTTGGAGAGTGGCCATTTGAGGACGCGAGGTTTCCTGGAAGAGAAACTTCGAGAGCTACGGAACGACAACAACGCTGGACTTTGAGTGAGTGATTCTCGGAAGAGTATCATTCAGACTTTTGTTCCAAGGACTTTGGACTGAATAGGTTTTCTATCTCTTTAGTCCTTAAGTGTCTTGGTTGTTCAATGCATGCGACTGCATTGTAGTGCGTATAGTTGTCAGTGTCCGTAGTTTTGAGTGTGGCTGATTGTACCGTGTAGTACGTTGTTTGATTGGTGACGTATTGTATGTAACTAGTGTGGAGTGTGCATTTTTGTGTATTATTTTCGATCTGCCATTATTGAGAATATAATTTGTTTGTTTATCAACTCTCGGCTCTGTCTTGTTTTTTGGGCCACAGCCGGCGTCCGCTGGCGCACCAATAAGGACCACTTCTAAATTGTCCACGCTTTCGTGGTGCGGTTCGGGGGGCCGATACTTCGGCTCTTGGAATTAGCCCGGCGATCGCCTCCCTAATAAACGGGACATGTGTGACATGGGTTTTTGCAATAAGAGAGGCAGCAAAGTTCAAGCGGTCAATAGTACTCACGCCGGGTGAGGGCGCAAATATCTATAAGTGGCTATTTATTAAAAGAGAGGAAATAGAAAACGCTTATTTCTCTCTCCCGTATGTGCGGATACAACCAGGAGTCTTGCGGGGAGGGGCAAATGCGTACATTCATCCCCCGGCTGAGCAGGAAAGGGTTAACAGTGACTTAATTGCTCCCGTGGAAACACACCAGCTCGGTCGGCGACGTAGCGTCTCAACCAATCCACAATAGGCAGTTTTAGAATACCGTTTGCAAGCGCTGCGGGCGTCGGGGGCGCCATATGAGATTTAGAATAGCGTTTGCCCTACTGAGATTCGCAACGCACGATCGCAGCGACACCATAGCCTCGAAAGCAGCGCTTTCGGGCCATATGCGGGCCGCCATCATTACCCGTAGCCTCGAAACCAGCGCTTGCGGGCCACATGCGAGCCGCCATCACCGCACGCAATTTCAGATTTTTTGCGTGCGGTCCGCGAACGCGAACGCCGACTCGCGTTACGACGCATCGCAGTGGCAGCGACCGCACCGCATGGGCCCGCGGTGCGCTATACTAAAACTCCCTAATATCCCGTTGTGAAGCCGGTGCCCGCCGCATCACCGCGCTCTTCCTCCGAGCACGCCCCTTCTCTTCCCTTTGTGGAATGCACTCTGTCATGGAGAACTTCCCCGGGAAAAAGCAAAAGGTTGCAAGGCCCGTCAGAAGGCACCACTGGCCATCTCTCACAAACGTCCTGGCACCGGTGTCAAGTCTTAACAGTAGATTGGCAAAGCGGGTCTCTTCAGTGAATCGCCGAGAAGTTAAAACGGCTCAGGGGACCGAAATGAGCCCATTTATTTGAACGGATCAATGGTTCACCTAAGTGGACGGAGATAAAGACGTGCGCAGGGGGGGGGGGGGGGTGAGGTGGTGGATGGATGGATAGATGTATTCGGCCGTGCCCTTTACATTGGGCGGTGGCTCACACCACCTAGCCATAAAGTTAAGTACTATGACTGCCTGTTTAAGGATTGAATTTCACTCGCACCTCGATTGTAGCCACGAATCAGTTAGCCTCCTTCTGGGTAATTCTACCCGTTTAAAGTCAATTTTGCCTTCACTGCCCCTAAACCACAATGCTTTGAAAAATTCCGCGCCATTATCTTCGACTGAAAGTGAAAGTGAATTGCAGAGCCCCCTCCCTATAACGTCAATGTATTGTGCTGCCTTTGCGACCCCCCCCCCCCCCTGGAGCGCCTATGGAGATAAGAAAAATACTATTAGTAAGATTCACGTGCTTTTCGCTAGTCTCGGCAAGCCATCTTCCCCTAATGTCAAGTCTCCTGCTTACCGGCGTTTTGTGCGCGATGACAGACGAAACTTCTGACTGGTGGGAAACCACGGGGAAATCTGTAGGCGGTTACTAACTGTCCCGAATTTGGCGGTACTACATTGAAATTCAATATGAAATCAGTGATCTAGCTCGCATTTCCCATGATAGCATCTTTTGACAACATGCAACCACACGTGATAACCCGCATCATGTTTCATCGCTACATCCGATATACACCCACTCGCTAATAATGACTGCCATATTTATTTGACGTTTCGCCCCGCCACGGTGGTCTAGTGGCTAAGGTACTCGGCTGCTGACCCGCAGGTCGCGGGATCAAATCCCGGCTGTGGCGGCTGCATTTCCGATGGAGGCGGAAATGTTGTAGGCCCGTGTACTCAGATTTGGGTGCACGTTAAAGAACCCCAGGTGGTCAAAATTTCCGGAGCCCTCCACTACGGCGTCTCTCATAATCATATGGTGGTTTTGGGACGTTAAACTCCACAAATCAATCAATCAAATCAATCAATTATTTGACATTTCATGCGTAAATAGACGCAATACGTTCGGACACGTGTAGTGTTTGTGATTTTATAACAATCAACAAGCGGCGATGCTTTTTTTTTTGTTGTTGTTGTTCCGGGCCCCCACGGGGCCAACAAGCAGCGGGCGACAGAACAATCGGGCGTTCTGGGATTGCTTGCAAAAGATTTATTCCAAGGGCCACGTGATTACATACGTCGTGAAGGGACCGTCGACCGACCACAAGCGCAATGCTGATGGGACTGAAGGGGTAGTGCTCGCACTCTTTCCACAGTACTTCTACGTGATGGTCTATGCCATTTCTTTTTTCATATTGTCTTTTATCACATTCTTTTTGAACCCTGTATTCCTTGTCCGAAATAAATCAATTTTGAAACAGATACCAATTAGTCGAGTCACTTTCTTTTCGAAGCTCCTGCGAGCATGGTCCAAGTCGTTCTACTTGAAGAGCTCAAAAAGTATTTACGAAAAACAATTGGTAAGGCAGAATGCTTCCATTGTGAGTTCATCCGTTGATTACTTGTAATTGTGTTGCAAGGCTCATCTAGAAAAGAACCGTTCCCGCTTGATAGATGCGGCAGGGCTCATATAAAGAAAAATATCTTTCACACTGGTTAGAGTCATTTTCAATGTTCCTTTTCTCAGAAGGCCTTCGAAAGAGCCGCTATTTTCAAAAACACCGAAAGAGACAGCGTTTAATGGCTTGGTGAATGAAGATGGGTGAACAGGCGCAAGTGTTTGCGAGCGTATAACTGTATTTAAAATATAGCACAGGACTAAGGGAAAAGGGCACTAATTTTATAAGCAAACTTACGACAACTGGTGGCGAGATAAAATCTTAAGCAGTACTCGTGCTACAACTATTAATAAAGATGGAAGTCGCCTACAGGCTGGCAAAATGTCTTGCGCAAAACAGTTTTATAACTTGATACATGTGTCCGCTAGTCATATCTAGTGTTGCTACGTCTATTTGCCTGTTAAATGTCGCCATAACTGGCATAAAATATTCAAAAAAAAAGTAAAATTAGCATACAATATTCTCATAGAATGTAAATATTTGACAGATTCTTGTCTGGTTGGCTAGGCAAACTAGAAAAAGACTTAAACTCCAACCAATGTACGTGAAAATTTGCAAACCCGGCGTTTTGAAACCGACTTGGTTCCTTCCTTAGGGGGGGGGGGGGGGGCGCTGCAGCGGCGTCACCAAGACACTCGCTGGGCACCTTTACGTTTTCGCGAACCAGAAATGACGATGCTAACTGCATTTAAACTATATTTCCTTTAGATAGGGTTGAATCACCGCTGCGGCATAATAAAGAGCCGTTTTTTTTCTCATGTACAGTATCCTCGTATGCGCTAAAGGGTGAAGATATACAAGGCTACTGCAACAATGGTGTCGAAATTCGTGACACTTCGGGAACCCACAGCCATGAACTCTTTTGCTTACGCCTAATGTTTCTGAGGTGATAATGATTAAAAAGGTAACTCGTTCGTAATAACGACGTTGTACGGTTTTTACACCAGACGTACAATGCACGCTGTTTCTGCAATAACAACTTTGCGATTGCAAGGTTCTTGTTGCTCCCACTAAATGGCGCCACATATTCAATCTGCCGGGGGCTCACACTTTAGCGGCGACGATGTGCTAGGCCATTCTAGCGTTGGTGATCCGGCTGCAAAAAATTATAATCGCTATTGACGCTCGCACTTCGGCTTATTTTGACTAGACGGCTAGAGTCTCCACAATGCAGATTTCACGGCTTCCTACGAACGAAGGTAGATTTCCGAGACAGGGCCGCAAACGTGAAGCCTATCCGTCAGCTAGCTTACGCTTCATAATGCTTTACGCTTCGTGAAGACCCACGCATGCGCATGTTCTATTTGACAACACGGTAACGTAAAGAAGTATATGTACAAGCCCATAATGTCAGTGACGATCTTACGCGTGATCCATCGAATGCGTTTCTGAAGCCCTGATTGATTTTCTGAGACATGCAAATAAAAAAGTGGCTTCCACGACAGAGGGTGCTATTAGTGGTGGACGTATTGTATGAGGTCACAAAAGTGAAGCAAAATTGCTGCAGCACGCAAGATGTCCATAGTTCCCTCTATACGACAAACGTGCAAAGAGGATTGTGAAATCCACTTACTCTTTTGCATTTGGCTCTCGTGTTTTCGGCACTTGGCTCTCCGATTTTGGAACCACACCTACAAAGAGTGACAAGAATAACATGGTGTGCATTTTGTAAAGGGCGATTTGCAGCATGTGCTAAATTGACAATGCGCATAACATTTAACTGAAGTGATAATATTATTTATTTATTTATTTATTTATTTATTTATTTATTTATTTATTTATTTATTTATTTATTTATTTACAGTACCTCAAAGGCCCCAATGAAAGGGTTTTACATGAGGGGTGGGCTATTACAATCGGTTAAAGGAGTAGATGCTCGATCGCTGCTTTGAAGTTGATGATACTGGAGTGGTGCGCAACGTGAGGAGGAAGGCCATTCCAATCTTGTGCTGTCTTGACAAAGAAGGATGAAAGGTGCGCAGTGGTGTGAGCTCTTGGCGGGTAAACAGCTTTCCTGTGATTGGTGCGGTCTGAATGACGATGGGCTGGCTTGATGGTGGGAGTAAGAGGCATTCGATGATAAAACTTGAAAAACAGGCACAGACGAGCTATACAGCGGCGTGACGAAAGGGTAGCGAGGTTAGCACGAGATTTAAGTTCGGTTACGCTTGACTGATATGAATAATCTGAAAATATGAATCTTGCTGCCCGGCTTTGCACTGTTTCAAGTGTTTTAGTATTGTTACTCTGATGAGGGTCCCAAACAGCACATGCGTATTCAAGTTTTGGTCTGATTAGTGTCTAATAAGCGAGTAGTTATGCCTGGTTCCCCATGTGTCATGCGTTAAAAATAGGAAGAAGAGAGGTGACGCTGTAAGACGAAGGCACAAATATAATGGAGTTATAGCTTCTCAATAAATGCTTTAGGTTTAAGCCTCCTTGAAACACAACCTGGTATTATACATTGTGCCGCATACACACAAACCACATGAGAGCATTTAGTATAGAATGTAAGAAGATTTTGTATATTGTAAAGCTGAAAAATTCGGCAAATCCCAGGTACCTTGGGACAACGTTACTAGAGTAGGTTCCTTGGGACTCGGCGTTACGCGAAACGTGCGGAGAAAAGTTGACTGTGTTGTATTTTTTTTATCGAGCACAACGTTACGAAATGTTGTACGCACAGACATATGTTAAACAGTCACATGTTTACAGTTGAATAAAAATGCCAACACCAACATGGGTATCAGCAACATAAGAAGCCGTAAGGTACCTTGGGACCTTACGGCTTCTTGCTGGCACGGCTGCAGCACTTGTGCCAGCAAGGATGACGGCCCTGGACACTGCTATAAATAAACGAGTTAGAGTAGACGGCGCTTCACAGAAATATTCGTTAACCCGACGTGATCGCTGTTTGATGGGAGTACGTGTGTACCGTTTATAAGATTCGATAACCAGCACTGCAACCACAATTGGCGTTTCACGAACCTTACAGGCTATAGTTGAAAAGCAGTTCCTAGACCTGCCATGGCACTTTGGTAAAATACTTGACTGACACGCAAAATACTGGAGCTCGATTCCTGCTAGGAACATCATATTCATTCTATGAGATTGCGTGGTCAAAGCTGTCGATTTAAGCTTTTAGGGGCGAAGCTCCTTAGGGCCTAGTAAGTTGGCAGCCATCCCACCCCCAAATACACAAACCGAAACTAAACACCTGCACCACCCTAGGAAAAAGCGAAAACTTATGTGTAAACAACCATGTGTGTAACCAATTACACAACAGCACCGTACACGATCACCCTCTCCGCCCATCCACCCATCTGTTCGTTCATCCATTCATGAGTCCATCCATGCATCCACCATGCATCCGTTCGTGCATTCAACCAATAAAGAGTCCATCCATACATCCACATGTCCGTCTGTCCATGCATCTGTCCATCTTCACACTCGTCGGTGACTTCAAAGTAGCCATTTTGGATCTTATCACCTACATATAGCTTCGGCAACTCGTAGTCATTAAATTCGTGGAGATGCTCTGATTTGTATTAACACTCTTGAATTCCAATTGATGCTTCAGAAACATTACGGTCTATTTGAAAAGCAGGTGGGAGGCATGGCGTGCCTCTGTGGTAGAATACTTGGTTGGCAAGCAGAAGTCGTGTTCAATCCGTGCTAGGACCCTGTCATTTTTTTATTTGAATTCGTCTTAAAGCCAATGTGAGCTCCTTCTTAACGTTCATGCGTCAAAATTACCCATGTGTGCTCTTACCATTTCTGGATAGATATGAATTGTTAATCGCGTGTGGCACACACCAGCGTACGAGTGGTGCACTTACGCGCCCGCAGGTGTGTGCCACTGTCTGGCGAAAGGGTTTGACGAGGTAAGCCACGGGATTGTGACATCATTCATGTCATGACCAGCGAGTCGTATTTGTGAAACTATCTTGCCCTCTCATGCTAAATTTACTTTACCCCAAGTTAGGGGGTGATCACTTGAGCACCCACACGTAGGCAGCTGATAGGTAGATTGACAGAGAGACGCCAACAGGGCTTGCAGCAAGTAAAGAAATGGTAATAATAGTAATTGTTGGGGAAAAGCCATCATATGATTATGAGACACCGTAGTGGAGAACTCCGAAAATTTCTACCATGTGGGTTTTTTTCTAAAGTGCACCTAAATCTAAGCACATGGGCCTCAAGCATTTTCGCCTGTATCCAAAATGCTTAACAATGACGTCGCTGTGCTGAACTTCCGTGGGAATCGTTAACAAGCATTTCTGGACCTCTCTTTTTCCTCATTGTAAAAAACCTATGAATTTGGAATTAACCATAGTACCACCAAACTATTAAATATGCATCACACCTGATTTATTGTGATTCTTTGTGTTATTACTTTTCAATATAGTGTAAATTCCCAACAATCAATTGGGGTTTCAATGACAGTTATACCACGTTAGGTTCAGTTTTATAATGCTTTTAGCTCAAGAAAATTGAAATTATGAGGCACGTGTTTAGTGGCCCATCGCCCATTGGCACGTGTACATCCCCCAACTCATCGTCATCCCCAAATGCAGACAGTTGCATCGTTCATTGTTTAAGGCCTGTACAGCTATCGTTAAAGTGGCCTACTTTGCCTAATAAGAGGTGACATGACAAGGCCTTCAAGTTATGAGCGTGGTCTTAACCCATGCGCGTCAATGACAGCCTCAAAGAACCTTGTGAGTGGGAAGGGGTGGGGGGTTGAAGTGAGCTGTTAAGTTTCTGTATTAGGTGAGCCCATTCACGAGGCCATAAACACTTATTCAACTGCGGCAAAACATCACACCTCACCCAAGAGGGCCAGAAGATAAAAGAAAAGAGCACTGCGTGAGGAGGACAGGACGCGACGGTGGGAAAACGAAATAAATTGGGCAGGCCGTATCTGAATGATTACCCGCCCTGCTGCCGCCTTGTATGTCGACAGGCCGGTGGCGAGCGCCGAGAGAAAGCGCTCACTTTATTACGTGAGTAACTGCTGGGGCGCTTAAATCCCAATTTGGTAATGAATAGAGATTGGCCGCCGCGACAGAGTGCGCAGCCGATGACTGGGGAGGCTAACACGGACGGGGGGTTATGCAAATACGGTTGGGGTCATAAAGGAGAGCCGTGACACGGGGCTAGGGATTACGGGAAGGACGCCGTGGAATAAGGGATCCGGCGACTATACCCCTAAAAGCGGAAGGCGAGGGGGAGGGTGGGCGACGTCTGAAAGCCGTACAACGACGCGGCCTAATTTAATTCCGCCATTAAGCGTATTATTCCCGGGAACAGAGAGCCGCGGCCGCTCTGGGGTTGGGCCCTGGGAACGGCGTCCAGACAACGTGCCGGCGTGGCCAACTCCGGCGACGGCTCACAGGGGGCGTGAATGCGCTTCTCAGGGCTAGATGCGCCACCGGTCGCGAGCTTTCTGATTGGCTGCCGGCATAGGTTCTTGCTCCTCCGGTTTTCTTTCTCGCTCCTTTCTCTTTTCCCGCTTAGCTCTTTTTTTTTTCTGTGTTATTATTCCATTTTGTCTTTACTACACAAAGGCGCTCGCTTCGGAATGCCAATCCAGGGGCGAATATGAATTCGTGGCTGTATTTTTGTGAGCGCACGTCTTCCCTTTCGCATTGGTTCAGGTATGTATGCAATGCTTGGTAAATCCAAATATGTTTCCTATGAACAGGTTCATTTATTGAGAAGTTAGAAACATGTTGTTTTTCTGTAAAGTAAAACGAGAGAATTTGCGGCATTCTATTGACCTCTTGTAGCAGCCACCGAGCACTGGTGAAATGTGAAAGACATTCTGGAGGCTGTTCCGGATTTTATTCCTGTAGCTCTAAATCCATTGTTGCTTCTAATAAAAATGAGCCAATAAAGATTTATAGATTCTCTAGCAAGAAAACACAGCATAAGCTGTAATAATTTCTTCCCTCGAGGGACTTGACAAAGTGAACTCGCAAAGCTTATCTGCGAAAGTCAGAAGCAAAATATGCATCGCATGAGCATGCATCAGGAAATGCCATTCAGTGCCAAGTTCACCAAAAATTTGGTTCTCTTTAGCGATTGCTGACCTTGTTTTCAGGCCTGACAAAACCGTTAGATATATTATAGCGACATCAGGGTTTGCTTTTTTTTTCGAAAATGGGTTGCTAACATTACTCAAAAGCTGCAAAATCGAGTGGAAATCATCACACACACACACACACACATACACACACACACACACACACACACACACACATATATATATATATATATATATATATATATATATATATATATATATATATATCTGACGAAGGCCGTGCCACGGCCGAAACGTTAGTAAATACAACTTCCTTTTCAAATGTCCTATCTGCAAGTTCATTCAATATATATATATATATATATATATATATATATATACGGTGTGCGGGCTCTGTGTCAAGGATGCAACAACAGTCATTCAAACTAACACATGCCATGATGCTGTTAGTGCTGGAGTAAATAAGTGTTCAATTTTGCTAACAAGCTGAACGTTGCTATTTTTTTACAATTATTAAAATTTTTGCCAAAAGTTGGTTTTAAAGTACTCTTCAAAGCTGTCTTGAATTCGTGTAACCGCCTA